CTGCTGGAAATTCTATAATTTTATAATCTATGATGAAATTATCACATGCCTTAAAGGACAGTATGTTCCTTTGATGTGTTACCAGTTGTATATGTACTAAAGTTACAACAGGTTTTGTTCCAGTTGATATTCTTGTATGGAAGGCCATCAGTTGCTGAATGTGCTGTGATTCAGGATTACATGTATATGTGCACATTTATATTAACATACACATAGAAGTGCCAAATAAAATGTTGAAAGTACAGTCATGCCACTGCTCTTACTCAAGACAGGCTAAGCTCCTCTTGGCTTCACATGAGATTGAATAAAATCTTGAAGGGAACTGAACAGTGCTAATCATAGATGATCTTTAAGATCCCTTCTAACCCAAATGATTCTAGTTCCAACCCCCCTGCCATGGGCAGGGACACCTTCCACTAGACCAGGTTGCTCAAAGCCTCCTCCAGCCTGGCCTTGAACACTCCCAGGGATGGGGCATCCACAGCTTCTCTGGGCAACCTGTTCCAGTGCCTCACCACCCTCTCTGGGAAGAACTTCTTCCTGATATCCAATCTAAACCTGCACAATTTCAATTTAAACACATTACCCTTTGTCCTGTCACTACAGGCCCTTGTAAAAAGTCTCCCCCCAGCTTCCTTGTAGCCCTCTTCAGGTACTGGAAGGCTGCAATAAGGTCTCTCCATAGGAGCCTTTTCTTTTCCAGGCTGAACAAGCCCAACTCTCTCAGCCTGTCCCCATAGCAGAGGGGCTCCAGCTCTCTGATCATTTTTGTGGCCTCCTCTGGACTTGCTCCAACCAGTCTGTATCCTTCTGATGCTGAGGGCTCCACAGCTGGACGCAGCACTCCAGGTGGGGTCTCACCAGAGCAGAGTACAGGGGCAGAATCCCCTCCCTCGACCTGCTGGCCACACTTCTCCTGATACAGCCCAGGATACGGTTGGCTTTCTGGGCTGCCAGTGCTCACTGGCTCCTGTCCAGCTTTTCATCCACCAATCATTCTGGTACCAGAAGATTCATTACTTACATTTCTCAAATTTAAAAAGAAAATCCGTGAAGTAGGCGGTCCAGGCAGGCTAGAAGAAATATGAAACCTGATAGAACTTGTCTTCAATAGGAAAGATTATTGTGATTACTCTGCGATCCACATTCTCGCTGATGGAAGGAAGGAGTGCTATTGAGAGATGAGAGAGATCCTACAATCAGAAAAAAAATAACAAAACTAATATTATAGAACTATCTTCC